TGCTGGTATGTTTTGTGGGAGTTTGGGAGGACATCACCGTATTTCCTGACCTCACAGAATCTGAAGCCAACTTGGAAGGAACAATTTCATCCTTATGTGGTTTATTTAGCTCAGTTGAAAGTCACGGGAAGGTAACTATTTACTGGGTGTGGGTTCCTTTATATTAATTGAAAACCTTTAATATGAAAAGCCCACATTTAAATGACAAATTGAAATGACTCTTATCTACACACACACACACACACACACACACACACACACACACACAAAGATGTTTCGTTATGCACACACAATGGAATGACTAAGCTCAGCAAATTACCATAAGCTTCCCTTACATATTTCTGTGGTGAGAACATTTACATTGCACTCAGCAATTTTCAAGCACAACCTGCGTTGTCATTAATGTAGTCACCTAATGAATAATGCATCTCCTGAACTCATTTCTCCTAACTGAAATTTTGTACCCCTCCACCAACATTCTCCCCTTGTGCTTCTGTAAGATGAGTGAGGCTGAATTCCTTTTTTACAGATTTGCTGACAGTTTCTGCAAAGGAATGCCTTGTAAGTCAGGTTGCTTCCTTGTTATTGAGTTAAGTTCTTCATATACTTTGGGTACTAAATTTTTATGTATTTATAATTTATATATGAAATTTATAATTTATACATTTGTATACACATATATTTATATATTGTTTCATATATATGATACATATATTTACATATTTTGGATACTAAGCAATCTTATTAGATACTGCCTTCGCAGTATTTTCTCACAGTGAAGTTCTTTACTCTGTTCCTTTGTTCTAAGGAAGATTTTTAGTGTTTTGTAGTTTTGTGTTTCTAATTTTGCATTTGTTGACTGTATTTTTAGCTTAGGTTTTTTTTTTTTCAATTTGTCACATTTCCAGATGACTTAAATTTAACTTCCAGCATCCACATCTGGCAGCTCACAACTGCCTTTACCTCCAGCTACAGGAGATTTGACGCCCTCTTCTGGTCTCCACAGGCACTGCACAAATATGTGGCACACACACACACACACACACACAGATACACAGACATATATGTACACATAATTAAAAACAAAATAAATCATAAAAAGATTTTCCCAGACATGTCAGGAAGTTTTTCCTTATGCTTTCTCTAGTATCCTTATTTTCCAGGCCATAGTTTTAAGCATTAAATCCATTTTAATTTGTCTGTTTATAGAGTAAGGTGAGTACCAGAAGTCTTCATTTTCCCTCCATTTCTCTCAGCATGTTATCTGTTGAAGAGACTGCCCATTGTGTATTCTTGGAATCTTTTAAGAAATTGATTTTAAATTCCTGGGCTTATTTCTGGGCTCTTCATTTTCTTCCATTAGGTCATAGGTGTGTTTTTGTGTTGGAACACAATGCTTTAAATTACTGACATTGGTAATAGGTTTTGAGGTCAAGGCAAGTGATATCGTTAACTTAATTCCTTCTTCTAACTGTTCAACACTGTCTGTGGGTTCCTATGAAGCTTCCATACGGAGCTCCTTGAACATCTTCCACATAAAGCTTATTTTTTTTTAACTCTGTGGAAAGTGTACCATAGTTTTTCATAGAGATTTCACTGTATATTTTAATAATTTCTATTCTCTTTAATCCATAAACATGAGATATATTTCCATTTATTTTTGTCTTTTGAGATGTTTTAAAGTGTTTTTGTTTATCCTTTTGACAATTTCATACAATGCATTTTGATATTTATCCTCCAACTCCTCCAAGATTCACCCTGTTTCCTGGCTTCGCAATTTTGTATTCTCCTTCAAGAGTAACCCTTGACTCCAATTTGTCCTGCTCATGTACTCCTGAGTGTGGGGCCAGGAGCATGCATAATAAGAGACTGCTCATTTTATAAACCTACCAGGGGCCACACTCTTAGAAGGAAACTAATTCTCCCTCTCCGTGTTGCCGTCAAGGGTCTAGAACGGCTCCTCATTTAGGAAGTTGTTGGGGTAAGAATCCTTCACTTCCTGCATCACAGTTTTTCCCTGGGTACTTTTGCACTATGGTAAACGATGTTTTCTTCTGTGATGCTTTCTTATCACCGAGCAGAAGCACTGCTGATTTTCATATGTCAATATTGGTTTCTACACTTTTATTAAATTCATTAATTAGTTCCAACAAGTTTTGATCAGGCACATTATGTGTGTGTGTGTGTGCGTGTATGTATGTGTGTGTGTGTTCATGCCACAGGTAGACTTCCTCTAGTGTTCTCTACTTATATCTTTTTTAAACAAAGATTTATTTATTTATCTAATGTATGTGAGTACAGTGATGCTGTCTTCAGACACACCAGAAGAGGGCATCGGATCCCATTACAGATGGTTGTGAGCCACCATGTGGTTGCTGGGAATTGAATTCAGGACCTCTGGAAGAGCAGTCAGTGCTCTTAACCACTGAGCCATATCTCCAGTTTCCCTCTACTTATGTCTTTTTTAAAGTTACCATTACTGTTGCGCGTGTACATGTGTATTTGTTGCATTTACGACGGGCATGTATTCCACAGCACGTGCATGGAGTCATCTGACTCTGAGGAGTCGCTTCTCTCCTTCTAAGCTAATGTGGAGCCTAGGGATTGTGCTCAGGTCCTCAGGCTTGCGTGGCAAGTGCTTTAACCACTGAGCTATCTTGCCATGTACCTCTACATTAATTTTTTGAGATAGGGCAACTCACAGAAACTGGACTTTACCATTTTATCTAGACTGGCAGGTCAGCAAGTCCCTCGGATCCTCCTCTGTACCCATCATCAGTGGGATCAAAGACTTGTTGCCAAGTCTTGCTTTTGTGTGGGAGTTGGGAATCCAAAGTGTGCTCTTCATGTTTGCACAACAAGAAGTTCTCCCTAATGCTATTTAGGATTTTAAAAAGATCGTCATTGATGGTCTAGAGCACTGGCTTACTTAGCGTGTACTTCTCTGTCCCCAGCTCTCACAATGGGTGTTTCACAGTGTTTGCAGCTAGGCAAGGTTGCTGGTTATCATTGCTGTTGTTGTCGTTATTATTAATTATTATTATTTTGTCTCAGAAGGCTGCAAAATATCTTCCAGCACTATGAAAGCTGGCCAGGAGGGAGGAAGCTTTCTGGGAAATCACTACTGTGATTTCTCCATGTCATATAGTCAATGCGTGTTTATGTGATTTGTCATATAGCTAGAATGTCTTCAGCAATAGGTTCTTATTGCCAAGGGGAACCAAGAGCAACGGCAATAGTCTATATTGTTGGGAGCGGGTCTCCAGGATGCCCTTGACCAACAACTTGAGGGGAGATATACCCATATACATATGTATATGTATATGTATATGTATATGTATATGTATATGTATATGTATACACTCACTCATACACACACATATACATACATATATATATACACACACACATACACACACACACACACACACACGCACACACTTGAAAAAGGAGTAGGTTTTCATGTGGCCTTTTTAAACAGCCTTAGTGTTAGCTATCCCTCCGTCCACCCTCTCCTCTGCTCTACCGTCCCAGGCCTCCCCCACCTAAGCCTCCATCCCCATCTTCCCCTTTCCCCTTTATATAACCCACCTTTCATTTATCTTTAAATTGTTTTTTTAATCTAAGCTCCTCTTCCTTTTTTTCTTCCTCTTTCACCTCCTCTTCATCCTCCCCTACCTTCCTTCTCTGTTGAGAGCCAGGCTAATCTAAAGGTTTCTCAGAGCCCCATGGAGGTACAAAGGGAATGTTCATTCTGTGTCCTTGTCCAGGTGCAGATGTAGCAAGGCTAGTCTGGAGCTGGGGCCAGGGCTGTGAAGGGGTTAAGGTTTCTGTTCCTGGAACTTGGCTTTTCCCACCAAAGTGACTGTAGTTGCCAGGCCTCAGCCTGCTGTGTGTTTGCTCTACAATGCTGCTGAGATACCCTGAGTTCTCTTTGTGCAGTGTTGCTTCATTAGCCTCATCCTGGCTTTGTCCCATTGTATGATATTTTCTACTGACTGTCCCATTCCTCCCATGGAAATAGCACACAAAACGCTGCACTCCTTAGTAAGCTTGCTTGGCATAAGACAGAGGAGACCTCCTTATTCCAAACTTTAACTGCTTCCTTGTCTTCTGAGCCCCTGGTCTTCTCTCATAGGACCTGTCACTGAAGTATGACATGTTGGTCTAGGTCACTCCTCCTTTTTCCCCTCCTTATTCTTTTTCTTGGATAGGATTTCATATATTAGATTGGCCTAGGGTTGGCTGTGTAGTGCAGGCTATCCTCACACTCATGACCCTCTTGCCTTGCTTTAATGAGTGTGGGGATTAAAGGCATATGCAAGCAGACCCATGTTCCAGCCTCCTTTCAACTTCATCCCCCCTCAGTTGAATTGAATTTGTACTTCTCATATGCACATGGACGTGGCGTCACCCACTGGACACGATCTAATTAACAGAGGTCACATCACCAAACGAAAACGGAGTCTCCTATTCCTGGAAGCCACCAACTGTCAGAACTGCCTCAGCTAAGGGTGGGGGGCTTGTGAACCCCTCACTGTTTCATTCATGTTTGTTGACTGGCTTGATGTTGTATTCATCTTGTGTAGGCAACCACAGCTGCTGTGTGTGTTCATGGGTGCAGTGGTCCTCCGTGGCTTTTAGCTCTTAGAGTCTTTCCCCATCTTCTGAGATGGTCCCTGAACCTTGGGTCTGGGAATAAGATATAGATGTTTCATGTTCCATTTAAGACTGAGCACTGCACAGACGTTTATTCTCCGCACTTGGATGAGTTGTGAGTTTCTTTGTTAAGGGTTGTTCACTGCATCGTGTCAGGCATGGTCTTGTGCGCAGAGGCTGTCAGCAAGACATCCTGCTTGAGTTCTAGGTTTGCTTAGTCATTGCTGTGGGGTTGGGGGGAAAGGCACATGCATTCCTAAGTGGAAGGAGACCTAACCAGGTTCAAAAAATTCTCTGGTCATCTACCTAAGCATCAGAAGTGTGAACGAACCGTAACGATTCATGGATACATTAACTTCTATATCCATAGAAGACCAAACAGGTCATTTACACAGCAAACTGGGATTTAGGACCCGAGGTTAGGACTAGTGTCCTTCTTATTGTTATTGAGGCACCTGTGACTTGTCGGTAAGGCATAGTGTTACTTATGGTATCCTTGGGATAATCATATGGGGATCAGCTGCAGAAATGGAAAAGAAGCAGACATTTAAAACTAATTAGCAGCAGAAGAGCCCTTTATGAAATGGCCAAAGGTTCATGAAATAAAACCAAAAGCTACGGAGGTCGTCCCATTTCTTGGAAAGGCTTACCAAAGCACTGGGCTGGGTAGACAGATAGGAACTTTATGGTGACACGGAAAGAAAAGGATGAAAAGCATTATGCCTTCCATCCCAGAGTCTGACCTGATTCTTCTCCCAAGAAAGGCCAGAAACATCGTAAATTCCATCAGAAATGCTCATGAAGCCCAAATGGCCCGAGACACAGTACACAACAGACACAGTACACAACCTTCTCCAGAGACACCCGTCAAGCTAAATCGTGCTTCCTCAGGACCAGCATGATGCATCACCCTGAGTTTCTGACAGTCCTTTCTTCTACATCTAAAACAACACCTCCTTCGATCTCTCTCACAACCTTGTTTACTGAAGGAAATTATTTTTAAGTTTAAGCCTTCTTCTAAGCCACACCCTTCGGAGCAATGTTAAAGAAACGAGGAGGCCATTTCCTGTAACCTTTTGAGATATAACTTAAGAGGAACCAAAATTCTACATAGACCTTTGATAAAGACACCTAAGTGTGACTTTCTCGGGAGAAGTTCACACTGCTGCTTGGGTATCATCTCACCCCTGTCCCTCTCTATTGACCCCTGTGACTTAGCTCTAAGTTAAAAATGGCTTTTTAGTAATCCTCCAACTCTGCTTCACGTTGTCTGTCCATGAAATTCCTTTCTCTGTCAAAGCCAAAGGTCCTGGTGTCTTCGTCTGCGTTGCCCATGACAGTGTGAGAAGAGGAAGAAGAAAAGGAAACTTGAGTCTAGTTGTCTGACTCGTAGGAACAGGCATGAATGATTTTCTTGACTAAAGGGTTTTTGCAGAGGCAGCTTTTTGTTTGATGAGTGACCTCCCATCATCATGGGGCTTTGGAAGGCACCCGCTGCTCCATGGTGATATTGCTGATCTTAGAGGATTTCTCTTCGACCGAGTGCACTCTCAGTGAGAGGAGGCTGCCAAGTTGGTCTAGTTCTTCAGCCACTGTTCTGGCGAATGTTTCTTCTGTTGAGTCTGAAATGAAGTTAGGGAAAGTTCAGTGCTCAGTCTTAACAGGGGAAGGGTACCTAGCCCTAGCAGGTGTGTATTTAAAGACTGTTTTTGTTTTTTCCAAGTTTGAAGAAAATTGAGATACAATGTTTAGAGTTAGTTCTTAACAAGAACCAGGACCCAGGACTGATTGGCGCTCTCTCTCTCTCTCTCTCTCTCTCTCTCTCTCTCTCTCTCTCTCTCTCCCTCCCTCCCTCCCCCCTCCTCTCTCTGCAATTGGTGCTTGAAAGCACAAATGAAATATGTATTAAAAAAGAATCTAGACATCAGGTAAATATTAGTCTGAAACAGTCAATGCCCTCTTCTTTCCCCCTCCCTCCTTCCTTTCCCTTCCCTCTCTGTTCCTTTCCCCTTTTCTCCCCACCACCTTGTCCCTTTTAGAACTGGAGGTTAAACCCAGATACTCAAAAATATACTAGACCAGGAATCTTATTTCTCACTTATATCCATCCCTCATTTCATTCTTTATTTTGAGACAGAGTTCCACGAAATCACTCAAACCGGGTTTCAGCTCACTTTGTGACCCAGACAAGTCTAGAACCTACAAACCTCCTGCTAGAGTGTCTCCAGTACTTGGCATCATAGGCCTGAATTGCCAGGCCAGATTGTTACCTTCTTTAAATACCAGCTGGTCTTATTTTAGTAGTTTAAAATAAGCATTTTCATTAAGCAGTAAAACTGAAAAATAATGCATTCTAAGCAATAAAGATACTCAAGGATTTGTTCTTCACCACAGTCATTTTATAATTTAAACCCATCTATTCTACAGGGATGTAAGGTATAAGTATTAAGAATTGTCAGGTGAATGGTATAGTGGGACACATCTGTAGTCCTAACATGTGATAGGCCAAGGTAAAAAGACTGAGTTCCAGGCCAGCTTGAGCTACATAGCAAAGCTTTAGGTAAAAATAAGTAAATAAATAGATAGATAGATAGATAGATAGATAGATAAGTCGTAATGACCTCACTGGTTCACTCACTAGATCTAAACTTAAAACAAATTTTTAGTTACCACATAGGCTGCTCATTTAATAAAGCTGAAGGGGTTTAAAAGACTCCCTCAGGCTGGGGAGACGGCTCAGGGTCTGATGTTCTTGCTGTGGGACTCTTAGGAACTGAGTCTAATCCCCAGCGCGCACATACAGAAGCCAGGCACAGTAGAGCACACTTGCAATTCCAGCACTGGAGAAGCTGAGGCAGGAGAATCCCTGGCCAGCTAGCCTGGCCAAATTGAGAAGTTTCAGACTACTGAGAGACTCTGTCTCAGAAGAACAAGATGGAGAGCATTTGAGAAAGACACCTGAGGTTCATCTTTGTCCTCCACATGCACAACAGGCATACACATGCGCGCGTGCGCGCGCGCGCGCGCGCACACACACACACACACACACACACACGTTTGCATATGCACACGCACAATATTACAGTAACTAAAATCCCTCCCATACCGTTGAATTCATTTGCAGGCTTGCCATCCTTTGGTTTGTAACTTGTGGATTCATTTCTCCTGTGGAGAGAGGAGTAGGTTATTTTATTTTTCTCTCAATTGGAATCTCATAAATGATTGTGAATTGGAAATTACAGGTTTTTTTTTTTTAAAAATTACTTTTAGCTTTGTTTATGTGCATGTGTGTGCATCCACACACATGCAGGTGCCAGACAAGGTCAGAAGAGTTCAAGGTCAGCATCAGTTCCCTTGGATCTGGAGTTACAGTTGATTGTGATTTATCTGACATGAGTGTCGGGAACTGAACTGGTTTTTAACTGCTGAGCCATCTCTCTCCATCCCCAGAAATAATAATTTTGGAATTCTAGTTTCAGGACGTGTTAAATTGTTTTATTTTAAAGGGATGTTAATAAGCTTTTGGTGACTTCAGCAAAGTGAGAAGAGATTAAGTGGATACTTCTGGATGGATATCATCTCTTCTACCTAGCAACAAGGGCATCCGTCCCAAGCTTGTGCTCCGACTTTTCATTTAACAGTTCAGTGCCTGTTCTAAGAGGTGGGCTGGGTGCTATAGAAAAATAGAGACCTAAGCACAGTAGTTTATAGTGTTAGAAAGACAATACATTCATGTAAAACATTACGCTTAACATTGCTAAAAGGTTCTGTACGTTAAGGGAAGAGTGAATGGTCCCCAGGTACTGAGGAGGAAGCCATCACTGCTGGGTCTCTTAGAATAGTCTGGAAGGCAGCTGCGTTCACCACTATATCACCAATGCCTACTGGGTTGCCTTGTCCAGCCTTGATATGAGGGTTTGTGCTTAGTTTTATTGTATTTGGTTATACTGTATTTGATGGATATCCCTGGGAAACAGGAGGAGTGGCTCTATGGGAGAGGGAAAATGTGGGAGGCGGGGTGGGGGATGGGAGGAGTGGGAGGAGGGGAAACTGTAATGGGATGTATTGAAAACAAAATAATGATGATGATGATGATAGTAATAATAATAACAATCTGACGAGGGCTTCCCCCAGGCCTGGGAGACTGCAGAAGACAGCTATTCACACACAGTGTGAACATAGGCCAGCATTTAGTCACAGCTACCAATGGCCGGTAAGTTTTGAGTGTCAGTCTCTGTCAAGGTACTTTGTCTGCATGGGGAGGTGCTGTGGCTGAGAACAGAGTGTGGTTTTACTGTGTTTACAACTTTAGCAAAAAGGTACCTGTGGTCCAGAGAGGTTTAACTACATGTTCAAATTCATCCAGGATGGGACTCACAACTGAGGCTGCAATTCTGGAGCTTTTGGGGTCTTGGCTAACAAACTCTGATGTCTGTCTATGACGTTTTCTCAGGAGATGGCTGTGATCACTGCTGTACCACCAATGCAGTGAGATTTTTAAAAAAAGAGTTATTTATTTATTTATGTATATGAGCACCCTATTTGCATATACGCCTGCTTCAGTCAGAAGAGGACATTGGATCTCATTACTGATGGTTGTGAGCCACCATGTGGTTGCTAGGGATTGAACTCAGGACCTCTGGATGAGAAGCCAGTGCTCTTAACCACTGAGCCATCTCTCTAGCCCTCAGTGAAATATTATTAATCCTCGTTCTGAGCTTGGACAGGGTATAGGTGGGGTAACCATTGAAGTAATAAAACAAGTTGAGTTTTAAGAAACGTATTTAAACATAAACATAAAAGAAAGCAAAGTTTTCCTTGGACCAGAGTCCTGGGATGACTACGTATTTTGTATTTAATTGTTCCTTATATAATTATGCATGCAGATGTTTTCCATACTTAGATCTTTGCTTTCTAGATGCCTGTGTGGCTCGTGCTCGTAATCCCAGTACTCAGGAGACTGAGATAGGAAAATCTCTCTCTCTCTCTCTCTCTCTCTCTCTCTCTCTCTCTCTCTCTCTGTCTCTCTCTCTCTCTCTGGGCTATATCATAAGATTCTGTCTTAGAAATCATCACCACCATCACCATCATCACCATCATCATCATCATCATCATCACTAGCAACAACCACCACAACACTCAAGCCAAAAGAAACCCCTGAGTTTTGATTTTTAAATTTCTGTCTGTTTTCATTTCATTGGATGCAATAATGACATAATTGAATATATATATATATATATATATATATATATATATATATATATATATATGGTGATTTTTTAAAGAAGTTATAGCATGTACTATGTGTGCTATGTATGACAAGATAAATAGACCACACACTAAATATATGATACATATTCTACTTCTGTAGTAAACACACAATATATTACATAATCTGTAACAAATGTATAATAAACACACAGAAACCTAGTTACTGTGCAGCTAGTTGTTTCATACACTGGTACTCACTGTTCCTCTCCATCTAGTAAGTTGCAGTATGTGTCAATTTCCTTCTCTAAACACGTTTTGATGCCTAGCAGCTGCTCGTGCTCCAGCTTCTGGCCTTCCATCTCCGTCCGGAGCTGCTGCAGCTGCTCCTCTCGCGCCCCAATCTGCTCCTGAATTTGCTGGAGTTGAGCATAGTAATTCCCTTCGGTCTCAGCCAGTGAATTTTCATAGGATTGTTTCTGAAAGAAAAGCAGAGTAAGACTTGAATGAGCAAGAGAGAGCGACGTGTCCGAACTGAAACATTCTCAAGGTAGAAGGGGGTGTTAGTATGAGGTGTACATATTCTCAACTAAAAATCAGAACTAGTGGGGTTCACTGGGAAAAGAATGTCAATCAAGGTTTGGGAATGCTGTGTCAGAAGTCATGCTTATGGACGGAATTCCTGATATTTAATATAACATTGCAGCCATTTAATTATGAATACTACATTTAATGTTGTAGCTATTCATCTTATAGGGGCTGGAGAGATGGCTCAGCAGTTAAGAACACTATTGCTCTTGCAGGGGACCTGGGTTCCCAGCAGCTTCATGGTGACTCTCAAGCGTCTGTAACTCGAGCTCCAGGGGATTTAACATCCTTTTCCGACCCTCACAGGTACCAGATGCATGAATTATGTGTATGCATGCATGCAGACAAAACTCTCATAGACATAAAATAAAATATTAAAAATAACCATTGTCTATATGTATTTATTTACCAATGCACATATAATGTTAGGTGTTGGATGTGTGTCCCCTTGAGGATTTATGTATGAGGGCCTTGGTCCCAGCGTGGTGACATTAAGTGTAGACCTTTAAGAGGTGGGGTTAGTGAGAGGTTAAGTCGCCAAGGGCTCTGGGAGTAAACAGATTTAGTTCTAGTCAGACACTAGTTAGCTCTCCCAAGAGGGTTATTTTAAAACAGTTGAGCGTGGTCTCTCCCTGTGCCCTAGCTTCCTGTCTCAAGCTTCTGCCATGCTGTCACTTGCCATGATATGGTGTAGCCCGAGGGGGCTTTGGCAGTTGGGGCCATGCTACTTGGGTGAGTAAGTAAATCCCCTTTCATTACAACATAGTCTGCGTAGTGTTTTGCTGCAGTAGTGCAAAGTGTGTAGGCACGCACACCTTCTGTTCGAATCTCACATACCATAGCTGTGATGGATTGAAGTTCTATCTCCAGAGTCTGCAGACTGCGTTTCAGTTCCATTAACTCGTTTCTGGCCACCGTGGCCGCGCCTGCGTCGTCTGAAATCTGTTGCTGCAGCGATGCACTCTGAAGAGGAATCGTCAGAAGGGTTAGTATCCCGCTTGACTGTTTATCAAATGAGCCCCTCTCGTGTCACCTGCCGCAGATGTACCGTCTCTTTAAAGCTGGCCTCTGCATCTTTCCGGTTCTGCTCAGCCAAATCTTCATACTCGGCCCTCATGTTGTTCAACATGGCTGTTAGATCCACGCCGGGGGCCGCGTTCATCTCCACATTGATGTTCCCTCCTGATGCATTTTGCAGAACTCCCATTTCCTGGAAAAGATTACCATTTCCTGGTAAACATTAATACCCAGGGGTAGGATTTGGATTGACATCCACATCCTGGTGCGGAATGAATAGTGGACTTGAAGAGGGAAAGCCGTATGCGAGGCTGTTCTGCAGGCTTCCTTACCTCCTCATGGTTCTTTTGGAGGTACGTCAGCTCCTCGCTCAGAGCCTCACGTTGTATTTCCAAGTCGGTTGCAGACAGTGTCAGTTCCTCCAACACTCTGCGAAGACCGTTGGTGTCAGCGTCAACACTTTGGTGCAGAGCCAACTCATTTTCATACCTAAAGGTGTGAAAGTGTTTTAGAGTTGGGATTACAAGCAGGTACAACTCATAAAGACACTTTGTATGCCGATGGCTGGGGTGTTCTGGTTCTGTGTGTATTTCTGAGACAGGGTAAACTATTTAGACAGTTTGAGAAATCTAGTATATGTTTGCATGTGCACGTGGAGGTCAAAGGTCAATATTGGGTCTCCCTCTCTCTCTCTCAATATGTATTTATTTATTTTATGTTTATGAGTACGCTGTTGCTGTCTTCAGACACACCAGAAGAGGGCATCAGATCCCATTACAGATGGTTGTGAGCCGCCATGTGGTTGCTGGGAATTGAACCCATGTCCTCTGGAAGAGCAGTCAGTGCTCTTAACCACTGAACCATCTCTCCAGCCATGTGTCCTTTTCAACATCTCTCCATTGTCTTCTTCTCCCTGAAGCTGTAGCTCACCAATCTGTCAAGACTGGCTAGCCAGCAAGCCTCTCTTATCTTCCCTTACCCCTGATTTTTTGATACAGAGTCTCTCTGTGTAGCCCTGGCTGTCCTGAAACTCAGTATGTAGAACAGGCTGGCCTCGAACACACAGATACCCGCCTACCTCTGCCTCCCGAGTGCTAGGATTAAAGGTACAGATCACCACGCCTGGCTCTGTCTGCACCTCACCAGCACTGTATTTACATGTGTGTACTGGTCCCTTCTTTATATGTGGATGCTGGGGGTCTGAACTCAGGTAGATTCTTATGCTTTTGTGGCAAAGTCCTTACTGACACCTCAGTCCTTATAAATACATTACTTTAGAGATGTCATTTCTTTACAGTAGATCTTTGCCATCAAATAACATGTCAGAATAAAATAGTGTCAGATTTATAAAAATTTGTAATACATCTTTTTATAAGAATGTATTAAATTTTACTTTTTTTTGTTGATCTAGAACAGAGTGGGTTCATTACACTAGTTTGGTTTGGAGGGCTGGAGAGATGGCTCAGTGGTTAAGTGCACAGACTACTTTTTCAGAGGACCCACGTTAGGTTCCCAGTACCCACGCAGTGGCTTACAACTGTCTGTAACTCTGGGTTTACTAGACCTGAGGCTCACTTCTGACCTCTAAAAGTACCAGGCACACAAGTCCTGCACAGACATATGCAGTTAAACACTCACCTTCAGAAAATAAAACACACCAAAAATGGGCTTTAAAAGCAAAAGATACATTCTCCAGTGCGGCTGTGATCTTGTTGCCATTATTTGTAATAAGTGGTCCACTTTCACTTACTTCATCTTGAAGTCGTCAGCTGTGAGTCTGGCATTGTCGTTTTGAAGGACAAGGTTGGCATTGCAGGTGGTCATAGACAGGATCTGAGCGGGACAGTCAAAGGACATTCCAGTGTCAGTGGAGACCTGTCTCAGTCATTTGCATCTTTATTTGGATATTCAAAGAAACTTGGTTTTGGGGTGTAACTCCGTGGTAGAGCTTTTTGCTAGCATATTAGACAAGAACAACCAACCCCCCACTACCCCCCAAAAAAATCCCAACCATTATTTTATTCAGATAATAAAACGGCCTACTGATAACTTCACTGTTACTCATCAAAAAGTTTGAATTAAATATCAAAACAAAATCAGTAATGCACCATCCCTGTGGTGCCGGATATTGAACCTAGAGTCTTGTACACGCTGGGCAAGCACTTTGCTAACGAACCGTATCCCCAGCTCTCCTTGTAATTTTCCCTTTGAGACAGGATCTTATTCAATTACCCAGTCTGCCCTTAAACTTGTGATTCTCCTCTTCAGCCTCTGGAGTAGCTGGGATTAAAGGGCTGTACAATTAGGTCTGGTTCAATTATGTTGATTTTGAAGCCATTTTTCTTCTACTATTTGATTTGATTTGATTTTTTTTTAAATTGTCAGCTTCCACCCTCAACTTCGGGAACAAAGAGTAAGCAAATTCCACACTCCATAAACTTGCTAAGTACATGTGAAATGAATCAATTAGCTAATTAAGCATGTTCATGATACAGGAGATTGGACTGAGAGTCACAGGCATGCTGGAAAAAATTCTATATTCCTAGCTTTTTTTTTTTTCAATTGAGATAGGGTCTCTAGGTTCCTAGGCCATTCCAGTCTTGTGATCCTCCTGTCTCAGTCTCTGCAGTCATTATGATGACCGATGTGAGCCACCACACCTCTCTGTTGGCTAGCTTTTAGTTATGCCCACCCCAATGCCTACAGCCACAGTATGAGACTGCATTTCTTACCTGTCGTTTCAAATCCTCAATGACTGGAAAATACCGGCTGCAGTCCTGGTCAAGTCTACGGCCACGGCCAGGCCCACACTTCTCATACCAGCCCTCGATCTTCTTCTCCAGGTCAGTGTTGGCCTCCTCCAGGGCGCTCACGTGGTTCAGGTACAATGCCAGACGGTCATTGAGGTTCTGCATGGCCACCTTCTCATTCCCAGAGAAGAGTCCAGGCTCATTGTTAAGGAAGCCGACGCTATTTCCTCTACCTGACCCCTCACTGGCAAAGCTTCCTCCGGAGGAGATGCCCCCAAGGGTGCAAGAAAAGCTGCTCTCAGCTCCAGGGCCAACACACACATTCCCAGCCACAAAGCCTGCTCCTCCCCTGGACAGTCTGACGGACCCAGCTCGAGAACAGACCCTGGATCCCCCAGAAAAGCGAAAAGACATGGCGATGGTACAGCACAGCACAGCAGCCTTTCCCCCAGAGAGGTGCAAAGCCGAAGTTTATCCACCACGGGCGACAGCCCCACTGGCTTTTTATAGGATTCAATCTTAGCTACGCCGATCTGTAATAAAACATTATTCATATCCTAATTGCTGTTTTTCGTAATTGGGTGATTTTTAATAGTGTCCAGTAGGTGGCAAGGTGCCCCGAGGATATTTTTTTATATATAAAAAAGGTGCCAGAGACAGTGATTCTAATTCATAGCCTTACAGTGTTAGTAACACTAAATCACAGCCCCAGAGATTACAGAGAGAAAAGCCATTATTTGTGTTACTAAGATGAGAATTTACATCCTTTTGACCTCTGGAAAGCGGTGGAGACCCCCGCCCCGCCCCGCAAGTGACAAAACATTCATATTGGAAATCTTTGCTCCCTGTGTAGAAATGCACTAGAATATCTCAACTGTCCCTTTTTTCCCCCTTATTATTGAGCCAGAAACCCCCTATATTTAGTGATCTCTTGCCAATAAGAATTCTTGAACTGATCTATTTTGCCATGTGCATGCACATGTTAATCGGTGTTTGTATGTGCAGGTGCACATGTGTGTGTGTGTGTGTGTGTGTGTGCAGAGATGTGGAGGCCAGATGACAACATCAGGTGTGGTTCTGTCATCCATCCTGTTCAGTTTTTGAGATGGGGTCTCATTGGTCTGGAGCTTGTGAGGTAGGCTAGGCTTGCTGGCCAGGGAGTCCAGGATCAGCATGCCTCTGCCTCCCCAGTGCTGGGATGGCAAACAAGCTCTTGGCTTTCTTACAAGGCTCCTGGGGGAGACCAAACTCATGTCCTCACACTTGCACGGGAGATGCTTTACTTACTGAGAGGACTTGCCAGCCCGTCCCTGGCACTTGTTTGTACTAAGTCGAAAGCGACTAACAGAAGTTTGTTCTGTAGTAACTTGCTTATCAGCTTTTGCTAAAGTTCAGAAATAAGTGGTGTTGGCGGGGGTTAGTACTGAGAGTTTCTTTCTTCCTTTTTGTTGACCATTTGGAATGGGTCTCACATAGCCAAGGCTGGTTTTGAACTCCTGTTCTCTTCTCTCAGCTATCGGAGTGCTAGTATTGCAGATATACGCCGCTGTGCCTGGTGAGATTTTGTTTTGATTTGATCTACGAACAGAGCATCAATTCAACTAACTACTGGGACTCCAAATTGTTTTCTCTTTTTCCTTAAAAAATTAATTTTGAGATAGAGTCTCATTTTATAGCCCTGGCTGGCCTGGAGCCTACTGTATAGACCAATCTGAACTTGAACTTGTCCGATCCTCCTGATGCCTCTGCCTTCCCAAATGCTAAGGTCACAGGCATGCCCTGCCCCAGCCTGCCATGGTTCTCCAGCCTTCATCTGTGTACATAAAGCATTGTGACTTTAAGACCTGAGCTTCACATTGACCAGTGGGGAACGAAATATGTGGAGGGGAGGGCTGTTCCATCACGACCTAGGAAGCCCATAATCTGGTACCAAGGAGACTGGTTGTCATGGAGAAGCAGGTACTTTTATCTTTTCCACGAAGCCCTCAGGAAGTCAGCCTGTCTCTTTGTGTTTCACGTCCCTGGGAACAAATGAATATAATCACATCCCACAGTGTCCGTCGAAGGCTTCAATGAGCAGCTCCGATAATGAACTGTTATAAGACAGTCTGAAGGACACAGACACTTATAAATGTTAATTATTTGCATTATTATGATAAGGTGGACACCTCAGACAGGGGCAGGTTGTACCCATCACCTGTGATGGTTTCACATCGATTGGTTGACTGATTACAGGTTTAGTTTTGAAGCATGAATTCTTTCCTGGATGAAACCTTTTAATGTTGAACCTTTTAATGTTGTAGACGTTGAAGTTGGAGAAATAGCAGATGTTTGTCAGTACAAGGCAAGAGCTATCCGGTGGGCTAGACTGTGAGTTAAAAAAGCACAAATATCTAAAAACAATACGGATTGTATTTGGGACCATTACTGTGACCTGGCCAAGTTTTTACACTTTTTTTTTGTTTAATGTTTCCCATGAATGAAACAACCAAGACAACGTGTTGGCAGAGGAATAGTTTATAAGACCAGGCTTTTTTTTTTTTATTAGATAAGAGTTCTAACGAGACTGCAAAGTGTTATTAACACAATCTGTTTATCTCCAGGTAGCTTATAAATACTAATTAACTTATCTTTTGTGGACTGAGTTAAGCACATATTATTAGAACCATTTTGCAGATGAGCTGGCTATGGAAATAACATGGCCACGCAGATCACAGACTTCTCTATCAGAGCTGCATGGATGCTGTGTAAGCCCTGGAAACAAGGTTGGTGTTTACGAATAGGACAAGTCTCCTCCCTCCTGTCACAGATTTCCTGCAAACTGGTACTTTTTAAAGTCTAATTTATTTATTTTTGAGTGTATGAATGTTTTGCCTGGATGTACATCTGGGCACCTCTTGCACACCTGGCAGAGGTTGGAAGATGATGAGACCCTTGGAATTGGGGTTACAGATGGTTGTGAGCTGCCGTGTGGGTGCTGGGAATTGAACCCAGGTCCTCAGTAAGAGCAGGCAGTGCTCAAAATGGCTGAGCCATCTCTCCATCCCCCTAAACTAAAACTTTAAAAGGATAAATATGCTTTATTTATACTTTTATTTATATTTTAAATTTATACTTTTATTTATATTTCTCCTTTCCTGGAAGCTTAAGATGGATTCCCAGGTCACGTCTATCAATGTCTGTGTTTCTTCAGATTATGTATTCATGGCTGAAAGCAGTCTTCACACCTCCTGGTGTATCAACCATCATTTCTTGAGAATCTACTAGGTACTGAAGTGTGGCATTCTATACATGTTGCTGGCATTCAAAGAAATTAAACCGAATTGAACTTGAACTTCTATGTCATTTTGTTGTCTCATCTCAGGATGAAGTTTTACATTTCTGTCTTACTCTAAGGATCTTTTTTTTTTTTTTTTTTTTTGGTTTTTCGAGACAGGGTTTCTCTTTATAGTCCGGGCTGTCCTGGAACTCACTCTGTAGACCAGGCTGGCCTGGAACTCAGAAATCCGCCTGCCTCTGCCTCCCAAGTGCTGGGATTAAAGGTGTGCGCCACCACTGCCCGGCTCACTCTAAGGATCTTACTGTGCGTGAATGTATTATTTAGTTTCAAATATTCCATTGGTGAAAATGCAAATTCTAGGGGCCGGTGAGATCCCTGAGCAGGTAGGCACTTGGTGCCAAGCCTGAGGATACAAGTTCAATTCCTGGTGATGGAAGGAGAGGACTCACATCAGCAAGCCCAGCACATTGTCCTCTGACTTTCACATGTGCACCATAGTATGCTGTGTCCCTACACCCACATCCACACTCACACCAAATGAATAAAAAATAATTCAAAACTTTAAAGATGAATATTTTTAAATTTCTGTTGGCTATTCTAGAAAAACATTTTTATTAGAAAAAACTTTTTACGTGGGCTTGGAGAGATGGCTCAGCAGGTAAGAGCACTGACTGCTCTTCCAGAGATCCTGAGTTCAATTCCCAACAACCACATGGTGGCTCACAACCGTCTGTAATGGGATCCGATGCCCTCTTCTGGTGAGTCTGAAGACAGCTACAGTGTACTCATATAAATATAATAAACAAATTTTAAAAGAAACCTTTTTATGTATGTATGCATGTTTGTATGTCTGTATTTAGTGTGTGTGTTTATGTGTGTGCATGTGACCATGCATGTGTGTACTGCAGTATGCATGTGGCGATCACAGGCTCACTTTCAGGTGTCAGCTTTCTCCTTCCATTGTGTAGACCCTGGGGATCCGACTTAGGTCATCAGACTTGGTGGCAAGTGCCTTTACCTACTGAGCTGCCTTGCCTGCTCAGGAAAACATTTTTCTTGAACACGAGTGGTTTGTTTTGTGACTAGATTCCTCGTGTTTCTTCTGAGAATCAGATTGTGTTAGCTCCTCCCCAAATGGCTTCTCTGGTCTGGGAAAGAAGACAATTAGGGCTAGCAACTTATTTTTCACTAGAAGGAGGGAGAGCCCAGAGCTCTTGGTTCTCACCGGCATGGTATCAGGTTGTAGCTAAGCACGGGCGGTGAGTCAGACTACCTGGATTCCAGCACCTCCGGTTATTAGTTGTGTGACTCTGGGAAAATGACTCCACTGCTCTCTGACTCAGTTTCCTTACTCATGAAACAGTGATGTCCACAGTATCCAACTTATAGGCTGTTGTGGGGACCAAGAACTTAGCCGAGTGGTTAGCACACAGCAGGTGCTGATATCTGTTATCACCTATTCTTCCTTACAAGTTATAGTTTAAAAACCACAAGTACATTCAGTAAACCCCCTATTCTTTCTGCTTGGTTCCAGTAGAAAGAGTTTGTTCCCGTCCTTTGGGTGACTTGGTGAGCAGACATCCCAACGACTGAAGAGATCTGAGCTAACTCTTTAGTCATTAAAAACAAAAAGCTGTAAAGAGTTTTAAAAAATGGTTTTAAGCTCACAGAAATTCACAGAAATTCAGAGGAAGGTACAGAGATTTCCCACATACTCCCCCTGCATCACTCCCAGTTTTTCAATGACCCTCACTGGCCTGCAGTTATAGTCCTCTCTGGAGCAGAGCATTTGTTCCGAAGATACCTCAAGATATCATACTCACCATGGTTCACGTTAGAGTTCACGTTTGGTGAACCCTGTTGGTTGGACAATTATGTATCAACCAACGCCTGAGTACTCCCTTTGTCCCCCCACCCCCCATTTATCCTCTCCCCTCAGTCCATGGCAACCACTGACCTGTGTGTACTGTTTTCATGGTTTTGTGTTTTTCAGGATATCAGAGGGCTGGATTCCTACATGATGTAGTCTTTCCAAATCAGCTTCTTTCACTTAGTAACACACATTGAAGTTTCCTCTCTGTCTTTCCCCAGCTTGACAGTTCTGGTTAGTGTCCCATCATCTGGTTCTGCTGTCATTTATTTTTTTACTTACCCACTAAAGGACATTTGGTTTGCTTCTGAATTTTGTC